CCTTGTCTGTAATCCTTCTATTATATAAAGCGTAACTTTGTGTGTCGGTTTGTGTATCTGTATGTGTGTGTGTGTGCGTGTGTGTGTTGCGGGTTGATGTATGTGTGTCCGTCCGCAAAATGAAGTGAGTGAGAAGGAAGCCTCAGGGAAAACAAAACCGATAACAGATGGGTAGCGTACAGTTTGAGATATCAATTTTTAGCAGAATAGTTGTGAAACAACTCTAGGGCTATATAAACACCTGCTATCATCACTTTCGCTCATGGGGGTCACAGTGCCTGCAGTGCAGCGAGCTGTAGGCATCGAGAGAGGAAGCGTAGGTATTGAGGAAGGCGAAACCCGAAAAATCTACCGTCATATCTAGATTGCTGTCCCTTGCATGCTATGAAACACCATTGGTTGCATTTACGCGTCACTTCCAGGAGGTGTTGGTGTCACAGGAGGAAGGACCATAGCGAAATGTATAGAAAGCTTGCGCATTAAAGAAGGTCCGGGCGTGTTACGGGACTAATCTGGGTGCCTAATATAAGGGGTGAGCACCAGATACCTAGCATTTTGGTAGGTTTGGATCACTACCATAGTTTCGTACTTGACAGCGGCGAGCATCTTATGACTCCCTCGGGATTGCGGATAGCTAAGACAATTTTCGGTCCGACCGTGTATGGACGGGGATTCACTGATATAGCAGATGGTACTCTCACAACCGCTTCAATTTCCTACAGTATGACGGCGATCGAAGAGACGGAAAGAGAACTGTTGAGTAAACTTTTTGAACTCGAGGGATTGGGGATTGCTTCTGATGAGTGTACAAGGAACAAAAATTTCCTCGAGTAACTTCAGAAAGTACTCGGATCATGTGTCATTCGAGAATGGATATATTACTGCTTCATTTCCTCTAAAAAACATCGTACCGGACTTGACGGATAATTACAGCACAGCCTTTAAGCGACTGATGACCCTTCACATTCAACTGGAGAGAAACACCACCCAAAAAGAAGGGTACAGCAAAATACTCAAACAGTATGAAGAGGACGACATCATTGAACGAGTGGACGGTAACGCTCCCAGCTCCGTCGGTGTGTACTATATGCCCCACTCAGGAGTGTGGAAACCTCACAAGCCTAAACCGTTACGCATTGTGTTTGACGCTTCGTCAGAACGTAAAGGACAGCTCTCCTTAAACGATGTTACTGAAAAAGGGGAAACACTTGTGAATAAAATACATGACATCCTCATAGCAAGTAGAACATGCAAGATCATATTAGTGTGTGATATTGAAACGGCCTTCACACAAATAAGACTGAAAGAAAATCGTAGAGATTTGTGCAGGTTTCTTTGGTTCAAAGACACCAACAAGCCGCCTACTCAAGACAACATCATAGAATACCGATTCAAGAGAATACCGTTTGGAGCAAAGCCGTCGCCTAGTATTCTAAATATGTGTCTCCTGTCATTTTTGCAAAGCAAAAACGACGAACTAGCCAAAGAAATCGGTGAAAATCTCTATGTTGACAACGTGCTCCTCTCGGCAGATACTCCGTCGGAAGCTCTCAATAAGTACTCTAAAAGCAAAGCGTTGCTTGCAGAGATCGGAATGAATCTGAGGGAGTACGTGTCTAATTCGAACGAAGTCAACAGTGCCATCCCCGCATATGACAGAGCCCCTAGTGGCACCATAAAATTCCTCGGAGTAACGTATAACACCGAATCTGATGAGTTTCAGCTAGAGCTTAAATTCACTAGAAACGAAAGTTTGACGAAAAGAGACGTTGTCAGCCAACTGAACTCCATATACGACCCGTTAGGAATAGCAGCACCTCTAACCATCCACCTGAAACACCTAATGAGAGAAATATATGACAGTACCATCGAGTAGAAAGAGCCAGTTTCGAAAGACCTGGCTGATGTCTGGAACGAAACCTGTGCAAAAATGAATAACGTCTCCTTATCGATTCCTCGCTTCTCTTTCGAAAACGACACCAGTCCATTCACTCTCTGGATCTTTTCAGACGCCAGTATTCAAGCATTACCAGCCTGCGCCTTTTTTCGCAACGAGCATACCCTTGAGGTATCTCCGTTAACGAGCGGAAAAACCAGACTTACGCCGAAAAAGATCCAGCAGACGATACCTAGGCTCGAACTGTTAGCCATACTTATGGCAGTGCGTCTCGGAAAGACCATTATCACAAAGCCAATTAAGGACCTCAATATTTTGAGCGATAGCGAGATAGCTCTGTCTTGGGTGACAAGCAAGGGTAATTTCCCGGTTTTTGTGGAGAACCAAAGATACCTTATCATAAAGGTGAAGCAAGCCGTAGAGACAAAAGGAACGCCAATCAAGTTCTGGCATGTTCCGACAGACAAAAACCCTGCCGACACTGGAACTCGCGGGACGGATGCGGAACACGTACATAAACTTCCTTGGATTCTCGGACCACAATGGTTAAGTGAAGCGCAAGTCCCGTCCCAGCTGACGATGAAGCCCATATCCGCAACTTACGATTTTGATATGCCAGATGAAGAGGCGACGGTTACGAATGCAGCAAGTTTGCACATCTCGAGAGGAGATCCAGCAGACTCAAGAGGAGAACAAGTCTCATCTCTCTTGCGCGATTTTCTCGCCTAGATAAGGCTATAAGGACAGTAGCTAGAGTGTGCAAGACAGAGATTCGTTTGTGGGTGGACAAAGTCAACAGAAGGTTGACCGATAAGACCCCTATACTTTTGAAAAAACTCAACCACTTCAGCTTGTCTTGGAGTATAACCGCCGAAGACTTCTTCATGAGCGAAACCGTATTGTTTGCAGACCTACACAAATCTGTTTCCTTGGAAAACCTACAAAAAAGGTTTGTTCAGAAAAAAGTGTACCGCGACGAGGCAGGCATCGTAAGGTATCAATCACGTCTTCAGAACGCCATCCTACCTGATGACACCAAAAATCCGATCTACGTTGACAAGGACTCCGACCTAGCAAAACTCATTCTCAGTGACATTCATCGTAAAAACGCACATAGTGGAAAAGACCACACGTTGTGTGTTGCAAGAGCACGATTTTGGATACCACGACCGTCAGGTACATTCAAGAAGATGGCAAAACAATGTGTTACATGCAAAAAATGGCAAGGATTACCATTTGGCGTGCCGGAAATGCCATCAATTCCAAAGGATAGAGTCATCCTGACGAAGCCCTTCGAGAAAATCGGATGTGACTTTATGGGACCATTCCAGATCAAAGAATACAACAAAAGTTACATTTGTCTTTGCACATGCCTCACAACTAGAGCCATTCATCTCGAGGTAGTCGAGGACATGTCAGCAGTAGCGTTTCTCAATTCATTCAAACGCTTCGCTTCTCGACGTGGTATTCCCAAACTAGGCCGTACCGACTGCGGCTCCAACTTTAAACTTGGGCAACGTGTCATAGAAACTATTGGTCCAAATCCTGACCACGACAATCTCAGCGAGACATGCGTGATGTCTTATTGCGCTGAACATAGAATACAATGGAAATTCAATCCCCCTGAAGCACCGTGGATGGATGGTGCCTGGGAACGTTTAGTCGGCACTGTTAAACGCGCATTCAATAAAGCAGTGGGAAGAAGAAAGCTGACGTACACAGAATTTCTGACGACCATAACAGAAATAGAAGCCATAGTCAACACACGACCAGTCGATTTTCTCCAAAAATCGCTCAAATATGCACTTCCGCCTTGCGAGCACGAAGAAATCGAAGACCCCACATTCGATCCACTTCTGATACAGTCGGTCACGCAAGCAAAACAAGCGCTCCAAAGTAGTGAAGCAATATCACACAAGTTCTGGGAACGATGGCATTCCGAATATCTTACAGCGCTGCGCGAAATACAAATGCTCCATCGTAAGCAATCCAGACATGGAAGACCTAGGGAACCGGAGCTAAACGAAATTGTACTTGTCGAACAAGAAAATTTACCACGCGGTAGTTGGTGCTACGGCAAAGTGATAGAGTTAATCAGAAGCGCAGATAATATGGTGAGGTCCGTAAAAATTCTGATGCCAAATAAAAACGTATGGCACAGACCGCTAAATAAGATCTATCCTTTGGAGATCCCATCAATAGACTGGGATGAATATCAGGAATCATCCGAACTTCGCAGTCGTTCACCTGAACGTCAAGTATGTGAAACCGAACCGGACGACCACCGCCCTTCACGAACAGCCAAACTCAGGGCAAAAAGAGTGATCCGAGACGCGATAAGGTCCTTGAAAAATGCAAATAAATCGAGCCGCACTTGTCCAACGTTGGCCAGAACCTCACTATGTATGCCAATCCTCATGATGGCGCTGTTAGTCTCTCATGCAGACGCTTCTCCCCCACTGTTGTGCGCAGGCGAAATGATCAAAGTGTTTCTGCCTAATGGCATGTTTGAGATTTGCGTGCGAACAACCTGCAAACGCTTCTCAACAATGCCGACTGAATTCTCTCTCCAACTGCCATCAACAACCACAAACAACAGCGTAACCGTTCTGATGAGATATAACGTCCGAGCCTCATGAAAGGAATTTTACGTCACTTGTGCTCTTCCCCACATATGTGAGACTTCTAAGGACATGTTTTCGAAGCACCTGATTGGCAATCCCCATTGCTGGCCGATACGAGCATTCATATCTGTTGCGTCCATTGTATATGCATTCGTTTCCATCCCATTTCTCGCGGTGAAAACCGTACAGCTGCGACGAGCTGCTCGCCAAGAAAGTGGCCAAACGGTTAGCACTGCTAATTGTCAGACGAGCATCGCAAGTTCGATTCCCCGCGATAAAGACACAAAGACGCACACGCAATGCCACCACAGCTGTGCTAGCGAAAAAATCGACCTCAAAACATTCAACCCGCGGCGCCTCAGCATAATCGTTGCGGTGACTTTTGCATTAGTCATGCTTTGCGGACAAACAGCAGCCTGCCAACATGGACATTGAGACATTACGCGGAGATCACTTGCAACTCCAGTGGCAAATGTTCGATGGAATTCAGCAGAGAAATATTGTTCAACGAGATCAACAGACAGATGTGTGTCAACATTTTACACGCCAATAAGTCGATAGGCAAGATCTCCTTCCAGCGACTTGCGCTAGAACTACATTGCTCTCCACGCACTTTGTTGTTTACGAGAGACACAGACTACACAGTCTCCACCGTTAAACGATGTGCATTGATGGGATCTTGTGTGGGAGATGCATGCTCACAAGTTCGGCCCTCAACCACCATTCCAGAGCTGGCCAATGTATCTCGATATCCAGGATATTCCGGATGTGAGGCATCCTGTGGAAGTATCTTCTGTGGTTGCCCTACCATGCTACCTTCGTGTACATTTTATCGCATTGCGCACATTCCCAGATCAAACTTCGTATACGAAGTTGTTGAATGCATGGAATGGAAGCCCATAGTACGACTGCGAGTGCAGATTTCATTGTACAACATCAACATTTCCAGAACTCTCGCTCTCAGACCATACATACCGCAGAAGATAGAAGACATCGCTGTAACTGTGATCTCTCTTGCCAAGCCTACGAGCCCCATTTTGCACAGTAGATTTGCAGTCACAAGCAACGAAATATTGGCTGTACCGGAAGGGTACAAATTTCCGGTGGAATGTTACACAAGAGAACAAGCCTCACGCAGCTTCCACCTGTGCAAAAATCGAATGATTTGCAACTGTGACGTTAGTCACGAGCCAACCCGATGTGACTGTCCAACGCACTCCATATGGCGCATAAGAAAGGACGTATCTAACGTGTTTCCGATTTCGACCCCATTCGTGAGAATCACTGGTGAAAATGAATCGATCATCGCTCATTCCACGAAGGAAGAAATGACAATATCCATCGAGTCCAAGCTCATGAAAGGAAGTGCCGAATACTAGTGCGTCAGGCATGCGAAGTTTCTCTAGGGCCTCTCAGGGGGTGCTATAGCTGTCTGGAAGGGGCCGTGTTGAATGTCTCGTGCGCCGCAAAAGTGTCGGCATGGGTAATCGTTCTCTGCGACGATCATTCCTTTTCAGTCGAATGCGATGCTTCCAACAAATCTACGCAAGTCATTCTTGACTTCCATCACGCGATAATTGCTCAGGAATGCCGCATTGAGTGCAGTGAAACTCACACCAAGTTACAGCTTCACGGTATTCTAGCTTATGTGCCCCAACTGAATGACTCAGAGATCCTGAACTCACATGAGAGACCTTGGACTGCATCATCAAGCTGGTTCCGTGACATCAGCATTCCTGATTTAAGGCCACTTATAACGGTTGCATCTGCTCACTGGAAAGCAGCTCTCGCCATATTTGACACAACCGCGCTTCTCGGTGCAGCAACATACTTCTTTGGACCAGCTGTCATGCTCTATATAATCCAACTTTTATTCGCATGCATAGAACTCCTGGCGAAGCTAGCAGCGTGGCTTCTCCTTACAGCTTGTGAGCTCATCAAAAAAGCATGCCAAAACTAAACGTCCCATATTATTAGCTCAGAATTTGGTAAAGGTTAGTACAAAACTCCTATTTGTAGGCTAGTTCTAAACCGTAGGCTCTCCACTCTTGATCAAAACCTGAGACTCTTCGCTCGACAGCCATACTATCTGTAACCTCTTCATAGTTCAGTGTATAATTCCAATAGACTAGCGAAAATCGGTCCTAGACTTTTTTTCGGTAACATCTGTGACAGGACTGCAGCTTCGTGGACACGACTCCAATGAATCATTCCCCTCGACCATGGACGAAGTCGACGTCGCTCTGCACATTGAACCACTCGTTGATGCTGTCAAAGACCTGAAGGAGCAGCTCAACGCATTCGCTGTGGCACTTACTGCCAAAATAGATTCTCTTGCGGACATACTGACTCGACGAGCTGAAAGTCTCAACCAGAAAGTGGAACTGCTCCTGGAAAGAACGCAGCCACGATCTAACTGCATATTCTGCCCAATAAATGACAACAAAGATTGCCACCCAACGGGGAGATGTTGCCGTTATCCTGACGCTGTATCGCGAGCTGTCCGAGCCAACAATCTCGGACTCTGTAACCGATGCCTACAACCGAGGCATAACGAAGACTGCGGTATTCTCTGCACCTACTGCGGAAGAGATCACAACGTCTTACTATGCCCCAACACGTTGTCTCATGCGACCACTTCGGCAAAAAGAAGGAAATTCTAAGCCTTCCCCTGGCGGAGAATGCACTAGTGAATCCATCACTAGCGCATTTTCTGCTCCATCCCCCCTTCATTCGACCAATATGCTACTCACTGCACCCGCCCGCCATCGTCACTTCTTTCGGCCGATATTCTGTTCGTCAACACCGATCGACGTATTCTCTACTTCGACCACTGTTCGTCAGACCATCGACTTCTGCATGATACCACCATATTCGCTTCTGACATTGAACCATCTACTGCGACTGCTCTCTACCACACTTATCTACGACGAATTACCGATGGGTCGACACATGTCATTATTTCGCGACGATCGCCTTCTCTTGCGGAAGCGTGCGACTGGTGGTACCAATTCTTTTCTGCGGTTCGTGGTTTCGATGGCAAGCTCGAGATCCATGCCAGTGAGTCGATTCGGCGTTTCGCCCTCAGCAAGAAAGTGAATGTGTTCACCTGCTCATTGCTTTCACATTTTATGAATGCCTGTATTATCCGAATTTGTGGCCGATTGTTGGTATTGTCGTAGTTTCTAGTGTTCCTTTTGCTTGTCTCCGCGCGGCGGAGTGTCGTGGTAGACCACGACTTTTGGATTTGCTCATGTCACATATTTTGGTTAGTTAGATTCTCATTCGCTATACGTTCCATGAATTCACTTAGTTCTTATCCTGGCACTTGTGTATTTCTTATTCGGACATCTGTGAATGCTGTAACACCTGCAATATTGCTTCCGTATATAAGCGCAGGAATGTGTTATATCGGCGCCTTTTGCATAATAAACTGCTTCCACCGAACGACCGATACACTTGACATTTAATCGACAGATCCCTCTTGAATTCGAAAGCTTCCAAATCAAAGTGGATAAATTTAAACGGCAACCTTCTATATTTCAGTGGTTCCCTCATGGTTTTGAAAGCTCAAAAGCGAATAACGTCGAGGCGTTTTATGGATAATCATCTAGACTAGCTCCTCACCGAATGTCTTTTGAAAACGGACGCCGCTGAGCGAAAGCTTGACATAGTTTAAAGACTAGGATTTTATTCTTCTCAGAATTCGGAGCATCTTCCGCTGAATAAGGTTACATTCCTTCGAATAGGAAGTGCTCCTGCCTGCCTTTCTGCCCTTTATGGCCGTTTGTACTTCCCGTTCGTTCCTAGTCGAGGTCAATTGTCTCCCTTGCCCTTATTTTTATGACCTTCTTACAACAAGTTCTGTTTCAGTAGTGTGTTAATGATCACTGGACTACCAGAGTAAGGGCTAAGTCCGAGTTCGAATCACCGTCGTCGCAGCAATATGTGCATAATACGACATCATGGGGCAACGCTCTTTTTTTCGAGCATTGGAACCTTTGATTTTGCAGATCGTCATTCCTTTGACGCTAGATGCTGTAGGCAAAATGAGTGCTAGCGTGGCAGCAGTGCTCTAACGATAGTGCTCTCTAGACTTCCTTCTTGTGCATCTCTGTTATTTCTGCTATTCTTTACTTCGAATGTGGATATAACGAAAGTAAAGGGGGTCGGATGGAAGGTCTGGGTGAGGGGGAAGGGTGAGTCGTGCTGACACAGCCATTCCCTCGACAAGATTATAAGTTCAGGGAAACAGGATGCACACCGTAACCCACGTTGGCGCAGGAGCGCAGTTGCAGGCCTCCAGCTCGAAACGCTAGCATTACGGTGCGAGCGACTGCAATCGTTGAGGCTACCCTGGCTCTCCGAACTGCCAATCCAAAAATCGAGCGGAGTCGCAGCGTTTGCCTCAGAGAGAGCGAAAGAGAGAGCGCAGAGAAAACGGGAAGTGGGAGGCGAGCACGCGACATTGCGATCCCAGTGTCGACGCCTCAACATCGGGAGGGTCACAGTATACCGCCTATGTTCCTGAACTTATAATCTTCTATTCCCTCGGCGCGATTTACGCCCTGTCCACTGTGGAAAATTGGACGTAGTGCACAAGAAATTGCGAAAATGATGTCCTGCCGGTGAACTGAAAAGCTTCGATCCTCTTACATAACAAAGCCAGACCGCGCCTTCCTAGCAGCTCCATGCAAAAACCGTTTAATACAGCTTTGAAGTCCTCTATTGTTTCCGTCTAATAAATTCTTTGCGGATTACTATTTTTTCTGCTCCCCGAGCAGTTTGGAGAACTCAGTCCGAGGAAAGGGTATCGGAATGGCCTTTCGAGAGCACTTGAATTCAAAGGATTTCACTCTACACAAAGGGACTTCAATCGCCCATTGAACAGTGACAAAAGTTTGAAATCTCGTGGTTATTATGTTGAATAGAATGATTGTGTTTGAACAGGATTATTGATTATGCTTGTAGATTTTCCGCTCAAAAGGGCGAATAGTTTTTGGCCGACCGTATATGATATATGTTGTATTATAACAGGGCCTGTGATCTCATCATAGAAGAAAGCGTTTTCACTTTATGATTTTTTTGAAGAACTTTGTGACATTGTAGTTGGCTCATTATATTTCTCACGTGATCTCTATTTCTCTTCGTTGGATTTGGGGCCAACCGAGGAACGTCCAGCATTTGTGCTGCTGGTCAAAGTCCAATCAGAGCGACTGAATTGAGGTCCCATCCGTGTTAAATGATGCGGATGATCTCTCTATTCATGGGATTATGCTGCTTATCACTGTCGTGAGAGAAACTATGATGTGGGTTTCATTTCCTCTTGAGTTGTTAACCCTGGTCGTCATCACATGCTAAGGTTGTTGCCATCTTTGTATTTGTTTTTCTGCCTTTCGAGCTTGATAGGTGGAGTATTGCTATAATCATTACATGATTGTCATATGCGTAGCTCAGCCCCAAAAAGATTCTGCCCTTCTATAAAAATGCGGTTAGGATGTGTTTTTTTTTCGTGAGTAGGAATCCCTCTAACGAATTCGACGTTCCGATTCCTTCGTTTTCTGCAATTGAAGCAGTAACCCATGGTTAAGTTGGTGGGCTAACAGTGCCCCATAACGAAGGCGAGAAAAGAGTGTGTCTGTCATGAGATTTTTTGGGTAGCCGCATCAGTTGATATCTTTCGATCTTATTTTACCTTGAAATGTTATATTTCGCTGTGTCGTACAGGGGACAGGCGGTTCAGTTATAAGTCAATGAAGTCACGCCGCCCACACGGCGAGAGGCATCGCGCAAGGCAAATGCGGTGCCGATTTGTGCAGGCCCTAGGTGAAAGTGCCATACCTGTAAGTGGCGTTGGGGCTAGGTAACTGATAGTACCAGAGTGCTAGCCAACGGTGAACCGAAAAGCGGTATTTTAAAATCTCCGTGATTCAAGCTTCTTACTACAAAGCTGATCCACGTAAATTGACAAATTCATCAACGTTTCAACGAGAAAGCTTATTACATTTGTACACTGGAATTCAGTAGATGTTCGTCCGACTCGGCACTGTGGAATCGCAAAAGCCACACGATTGCTTTTTCGCGCTTGCAAAGTGCAACGGCGACGGCGCAGTCACGATCGCTGTGGCTGTTACTCTTGGCAGGCGCGAGTGTGCAATCGCGTCCCCGTTGCGATTATATAGTCTCCAACTTCGATATGCACCGTAACGATGGATGGCATCGTGGGGCGCGGTCTCTAGCGCGGCTACATAGCCAATATATTTGTATTCATCACCTCACTTTGTAAAACTCTTGCGCCATTGCCATAGCTAAATTTTGTCGTACAACTGCTTTCCGACTTCCGTTTCCTCAGAACAGCTAGAGGGTGTCCCAAAAGTAATTCCACTCGCATACTTCCGTAGTGCTGATAACGTTGAAACTTTAGTACGATTACGTAGCACCCAAAAACCTCAACGCAGTTCTCTCATCAAAAATCTAGCTCTTTAACCCGTTTGGAAGACAAGTTCATCAATTGTGTCAGAAGACCGACTTCAAGTCGTTGGTTCCACCAAATCTCACTACTCAAGCCGCTGCTCCAGATCACTGTGTCGAATGTAATCACTGCGGACTAGCTCTGTATCATGGGCAACGTGATTGACTATTGACATACACATTCTCAAATGGCTTAACCTCCGGTTTCGAGCCTTAACATGCAGGAGGCGGTCCTTTTTTTGCGATTCTAAGCTTGATAAAATGGTGGCATAGTTGCTAGGCGTTTTGCGGGAATTGCTCACCTGCAGATTACATCTGCATCCTAACAGGTCGTCGCCAAAAAATTCCCATATCGGATGTGAACCTCTTCTGAAAAGCAGAGTGCCTCCACTGAAGGCTTTGTGGTTGAGACTCAGTACTGCGGTCTTGCTCCCGCAAGGGCATACTGATTCGTGGGAAAAGTCCTTTGATCTCGTCTTGAAAACTAACAGCCCTCCTTTTAATAGCAGTCCAGCTCTCGTTCTCCAATGGCAAAAACGTTAAGGTGACCCAATGTTCCGTCGCCTCCATTGGACCCGAATCTTCATGCGCAGTTGAATCTAAAGTGCCATATAAAAGCGCCAATTCTGGTAATCTATGCATTTAGAATGTCCCTGTTCCGCAAAACGGAGTTTTGTACGGCTGTAAGTTTTTCTTCGCAGTCACATTTACGGGACGGCTCATTTCCATTCTCTACCGAAGCTCCGCGATGCACAGCGTCACTTGATGGTAGGAAAGGTCTTTCCGCTTATAATCAAACGGCAACTACTCATGAACTTTCTTCGCTCTGACTCATTTGTGAAACTGAAATTCAGTGATAATAAACTTATTGAAGCGGCTTATGTCAGTATTCCCTCTATGGAAGGTTGCTGTACCTTCCATAGAGGGAATACTGACATAAGCCTTAGGCTGAACGATTTTCAATGAAGCTTCGCACGCTACCATGAAAGATTTCGATGTCTATTATAACAACGCCACCAATCACATGCGAGCTCATTACTTTTGAGACACCTGCACCTTTAACCATTTACCGACTCGTGTTTTGTCCAGAATTCGTCTAAAGTCGAGATGGGTAGACGGCTACGTGATTAGAAAACTTTTCCTCCCAAACTTCGACATTCGTTTACGTACTGTAGGTCAGATCAACCAGCTC